CTGTGATTTATCATGAATTACACTTTGTGGGTGATGTGATGGAGGAGCTCACCACCTCTCTTCCCCACATGGTTATCCATGCCACTTGTTGAAGACTTTCCTTTCCCCCCGAATTCCTTTGGAACCTTTGTTGACAACCAGTTGACTGTGTACATGTGAGTCCCTGTGAATTTTCTGTTTTGTTCTTCTAACCTGTCTGTCTGTCCTTGCTCCAGTGCCATGCTGTCCTGATTACTTTTCTGTGGTGTTTGGCTGAAGTAGACCACTATTATCTGAAAGTTTTCTGTCTGGCAGAGCTGTCCCTTTCTGGTCGTTCAGCTGGAGAGGGCAGGCTTCTGTTGTTGTTTTTATCTGAGCCCACCCGTCTGTCTGGCTTCTTTTGCTCTAAGTCTGAGACGTAGAGACAAAAAGAAAACTCAGGGACCAGTGTTGGTCCTCGGATCCCGAGGTCCCTAGCCTGTCTGCCTTCTTGCTCTACCTGTCAGTCTGTTGTCTTCTCTTAGCTGTGTTCACCAGGAGGAATAGGGATACGTATTCTTTCTTAAATGTTTACAAATTTACATCATTTCTCCTTTTGCCTCAGGAGTAGGAATTCCTAATTTTTTAATTTGTTTTATTTTCTTTCCTTTGGCTATTTATGCTGAAATTTACTGTGGACCATTCGAGGCCTCCCTCTTCTGCCCTCTTATTAAGCGAGGTTCAGGCTTACTGTGGCTCTCCAGTGCTCAGAACAGTCCCAGCGCCAGTGTGTTCTTTCCTCTGAAATCGCCCTCTATTCGGGCCTCACTCCTTCCTGTGTGCAGATAGCCGCTCCCCTTCCGTTCCTCCCAACTGTGGCTGAGTCAGGTCAACAGCTATTTCTCTGGAGTAGTTTTTGCAAGATAATCTGTTCAGTGCGTCATGAACAAAACTCTCTTCTTTGTCAGTTCAGTGTGGAGACTGAACTGTAAGTCACCAGCTGCTGTAGCAGCACAGAGCAGGGAATGGTCCAAACCCGCCTGGCATTCTGTTGTTTGCGGTCCTGCCCTCATTCCTCTTAGCCCCAGTGTTGTCACTTCCTGGCCTTGGACTTGGTGATGACCCATGTGTGGTGCCTGAGCCCCTCAGCTTGGCTCCAGTTGGCTCTCAGTTCAGAGCCACCTTGTCTTTCAGTGTCTTTTGTGTTGCTTCTTCGTGAAACTGCTCCCGTCCAACTTGTCTTCTTGCCGTTCTCATAACAAGCCCCACATTTCTGCTTGTGTCTGTAATGCCCTGCTCCTCCTGGCATGTGTGCCCTCTTGTGTGTGTGTGTGTAGAGGGCAGGTTACTGGAAAGAATGTGTGTTTCGAGTCAAGCAGATCCCAGTTTTATCTCTTGCTGTGTGGCATAGGGTAAGTTACTTCACTTCTCTGAGCCTTAGTTCTGCAGTTTGTAAACATGGAAAAACACTTTTCTCACAGGACATATAAGGTTAGTTAATGTATATGAAAGTTCCTGAAGCCACAGGAACTCAAATAAAATGTGGGTTTCCTTTCTTTATTTCTGTAATTAAAAGTTGAGGCTAAGGGCTGGTTCATTTCTTCTCATCTTTGTGTCATTAGCAGACACAGCCTGTTGAGAACATAGAAGAGACTAATTAGATTGTTAAGTAAACAAACATCTGACTACTTCCTGTGCAGCCTGTGCTGTGTGAAATGCTAGGACTCGCGAATTATTGGGCAAGAAGGCCCTGTGCTCACAGGTCATTAAAGCCCAGCAAGGCATGTGCAGCGCTGGAGGTGTGCTCCGCGCATTCTGCGGGCACAGGAAGGGGGCATGGCTTAGACTGGGTGGGGTGGGCATGAGGGGGGATTCCTGGAGAAAGTGTGGCTGGTACTTGATCCTTTTTTTAAAACATTTTTTTTTAGGTATAATTTACATACCATAAGATTCACCCACTTAAAATGTCAATTTACGGTTTGTAACCATCACCACAGTCAAATCTAGACCGTTTTCATCACTCCAGAAAGATTCCTTGTGCCCATCTGCAGGCTTAATGTTAAAAGATGAGTATGAATTGGCCCTACAAAGATCCTGGAAGGAGGGCTGGGTTCCAGGGCGTGAGGAAGACAGCATGCAGGGAGGCGTATGACATGGGTCCGTGGGGACAGGATGCCCGTCAGTGGTCTGTCTGTGTCGAGCTATGCTCCTTCCCCGCACCTGTGCTTTGGCTTCCCGGGTCTTTGGACCTCAGTTTCCTCACCTGTGATGTGTAACTGATAGGCTGGTGGGATCTTGGCTCTCTTTAAACTCTCAAACCTGGGCTGGTCAAAACCATCCCTTCAATTAAGGGAAGAATAGAATGTACTTTTGAAAAATAATAGGACTTCCCTGGTGGCGCAGTGGTTGGGAGTCCGCCTGCCGATGCAGGGGACACGGGTTCGTGCCCCGGTCCGGGAGGATCCCACGTGCCGTGGAGCGGCTGGGCCCGTGAACCATGGCCGCTGAGCCTGCGCGTCCGGAGCCTGTGCTCCGCAACGGGAGAGGCCACAACAGTGAGAGGCCCGCGTACTGCAAAAAAAAAAAAAAAAAAAAAAGCCAGTCAGGGCCTATAAGAGAACCTAAAAAATTACAGTGATGCTTACAGCTCCTTTGATGGAATTTTTCCTGTTTAATGTTTTTCCTGACTAGACAAGCAGTAATGTATACTGGGTATAAAACTTATGAAATGCAGAAGAGTAAAAAGATCACTTATAATCTTATAATTCACAGATAATTATTTTTAAAGTTCCCTTGTTCTTACAGTTTTTTGCATATGTTTATTTAAAAATTGATATTGTGCTATAAATAAAATTGCTTTCCCCACACTATTAAATATTGTCAAAAACACAATTTTTATGAGACTAAAAAAAGTGGCCTGTTCGTTTAAAAAAACCCCCAATAATAGTAATACAAGTAATAGATGGGCATGGTAAGGCTCAAAATATGTAGAAAGGATAAAATAAAGAAATCTTTCTCTCCCCCCCCTTTTACAACTTCCAAGAGTTAACAGTTGTTAACTATTTCAGAAGTTGCATGTTGTGTGAGTTTATATTCCATTATTTGGATCAATCATAATTTAACTGATCTTCCATTGATAGCCATTTAGATTATGTTGTTTGTGCTGTCACAGTGCTAAAATGCGTATTTTCATGTACACATCTTTGAATTCTTGTAAAAGTATATCTGAAGGATAGGTTCCTAAAAAGAGGAATTCTTGGATCAAAGAGAGCACATTTAAAATTTTGATAGGGACTTCCGTGGTGGCGCAGTGGTTAAGAATCCACCTGCCAATTCAGGGGACACGGGTTCGAGCCCTGGTCTGGGAAGATCCCACATGCCGCGGAGCAACTAAGCCCGTGCGCCACAACACTCTAGAGCCCACGAGCCACAACGACTGAGCCCACGCACGTAGAGCCCATGCTCTGCAACAAGAGAAGCCACCGCAATGAGAAACCCACACACCACAACAAAGAGTAGCCCCCACTCGCCACAACTAGAGAAAGCTCGCACGCAGCAGCGAAGACCCAGCACAGCCAAAAATAAATAAATAAATATATTAAAAAATAAAATTTTGATAGATATTGCCAAATTGGTTTTCAAAAAAGATTGTGCTGGTTTACACTTCAGCCATCAGTGGATATTCTCCCAAATGTTTGATCACATCCTTACCAACACTTGGTATTAATCACCTTTTTTGTTCTTTGCCAGTCTGCTGTTAGAAAAATGGTAACTTATTTTGTTTTTAAAATTGTAATTGTACTTGAACATTATTTTCATGTGGATATTAGTCATTTTTCTATGAACTGCTTCACATTCTTTGTGTAGGTGTCTTGATTTGTTGAGATTTTCATTGATTTGTGAGAACTCTTTGCTTTTTAGAGAAATTAGCTCTCATAATTTACACATCTTTTTACACATTTGTTTGTCTTTGTTTATGGTCAGAAATAGCAGTCTTATCACTTGTGTTTGTGGATTTTTAAAATTGCAAAATCACCTTAGAAGTGAGTGCAAAGAGAAACAAGTGATTCTAATAGTTTTTCAAATTAATATCATGAAGGCATTAAAGAGGAATAAGAACTAATCCAAGTAACTTTTAAACACAGTACTGTGTACCATCTGTCTAATGAAGAAAAAAATGCAAACAAATCTTGAACTTTTCTTACATTTGTCCTTTGGGTTTTTTTATTCTTTTTTTAAATTTATTTTTTATTGAAGTATAGTTGATTTACAATGTTGTGTTAATTTCTGCTGTAGAGCAAAGTGACTCAGTTATACATATATATACATTCTTTTTCGTATGCTTTTCCATTATGGTTTATCGCAGGATGTTGAATACAGTTTCCTGCGCTGTACAGTAGGACCTTGTTGTTTATCCGCATTTCTTTGTAGTGTCCATTCTAGCGAAACTAGTGTGTGTGTATTTTAGGACTGAGCAAATGAGGGTTCCATTGTTTCTTTCAACATAATTCCAGTCCAAGATAAAATAGCTGTTATCCACATGTGAATTGTCCAGTGCAGTATAGAGCTATGGCTAATGATCTGTATATATAACTTTAATTGGTTTATAAATTTTGATACTGAACTATTCATGTGTAGTTATATTAACAGTCTTCTTAATTTATTATTCATGGTTGTTTGGCCATAACTTAAAAAAAATTAGGATTTTATGTTGGATAGCAATCCAAAATGAAGCCCATTACAATGGTGGGTTCTTTTTTAGAAGAAACTCTGTGTCCTACTTTGAGAACGCACTTTCATTTGGTTCATTTTTTTCACACTTGAAGATCCAGTGCTTTCAACCAACTCTTTGAGAACCGAAATGTGTGGTGCGCGAATGTAACTTGAGATGGCAAAATGAACAACTATTTTTAAAGGGGGGTTGTGAAGAAAAATATTTTTGATTTGTAAATGCAAGATTAGTTGCTGTTTTGTGTGTGTGTCTGGCGCCCTTATGTCTTGGTGGTCGTTGGGTGACTGTGATGTGCTCTCTCCCTCTGCAGGGGTGATGGGCAGGTAACAGACGCCCTCCTCACTGTCGTCAAGGAGGCAGCATGACCGAGTGCTTCCTGCCCCCCACCAGCAGCCCGGGTGAGCACCGCAGGGTGGAGCATGGCAGTGGGCTCACCCGCACCCCCAGCTCTGAGGAGATCAGCCCCACTAAGTTTCCTGGATTGTACCGCACGGGCGAGCCCTCGCCTCCCCATGACAGCCTCCATGAGCCTCCCGATATAGTGTCTGATGATGAGAAGGACCATGGGAAGAAAAAAGGAAAATTTAAGAAAAAGGAAAAAAGGAGTAAGTGCCATTTTCTCTGTGCTGTAGCTAAAGTTTAGATAAATTTCTACTCTAATTATGTGTACCTGCTATCTTGTAGAAATATATCCAAAGACTCTTGTTTTATATTTTCTTTATTTTTCTGCATCTCAGTTTTTGTATTTTAGGGTGTTATTCTCACAAATAAAAATACTGAATTTCCAGAAATGGTGAAGTTTTCTGGTGGAGGTTTCTTAAATTTTAAATAAAAGTATGAAAAGTAAATATTGAAATTTTGTCCTTATACAGCCTTACTCTCTTGGCGAGGTTGTGTAGGCCAGTTGGGGTACATGGTGAAAAAAGTATGTATTCGGTTTCTTAAGCAAATGCCACCATGCGTTCCATTTATGATTCCTGTTCTGTAAGGATGAATCATTTAGACATAGCTTTTTAGCATGTTAAAAGCAAATCAGGTGAGTTATTTTAAGTAAGTGTGATTTTAGTTTCACGGTATTTTTAAGTTAATTTGTATTTGAAGCATAACATTTGGATAGAATGCACAAATTGTGTACAACTTGATGAATTATCACAAACGGATACACCTGTGCTAATTACAAGGCTCTGGAAATAGAGCATCATCAGCATCCTAGAAATTGCCTGTTGCCCCTTCAGGGGGGACGCCCAGCACATCTGGACACTGCCTGATTTTGGACTTTTGTACATGGAAGTAGATTTCCTTTTGTGGGTAGTTTCTTTTGCCCAGTGTTATGTTTGTTAGATTCATCCGTGTTATTCCATATGGCAGTAATTTGTTCATTTCTATTGCTGGATTTTGCACTAATATACTAGAATTTATTTTTCCATTCTACTGTTATTGGTCATTTGGGTTGTCTTCAGTGTGTGTTATGAATCGTGCTTCTCTGAACCTCATTGTCCAAGTTTATGCATTTCTGTTGTGTGTGTGCCTGGGAGTGGAATTGCTCACAGGCCATGCTCATTTCAGTATCTGTAGATCCTGCAAAACAATTTCCAGAGTGCTTGTACCAGTTGACATTCCCACCAGTGGTGTCTGAGAACTCCAGTTGCTTTCTGTCATGGTATTATGCCCTTAAGACTTTTGCCATTCTGGTTGGTGTGGGGTTTGTGGTATTGGTACTTTAATTAGAGGGAAATGTATGCAATACCTTTAATTTTTGTTATAAAATAGCTTGTGAGGTAGTTGGCTAAAGAAAAGGAGAGTTTTAGATGTTAAAATAAAAAAGAACAGTGAAACCAAACTAGGATAACTCTAATATTGATACTAAGCAGTTATCAGTGTGAAACCAGGGCTTCTGACGCAGGGAAGTGGCCACCATTCCGAGATTAGGGAGTTTCCTGGTTCTGTTCTCCCCAGATGAGGCTTCAGTCCCAGCTGCCATCTGCAGAAAGAACTTAACAGCTGGAGACAGGAGAGCAAAGTGTGATGGGGATGACGGGAGCGTCTGAACAGTAGTGCATTTCGTGTCATGATTGGAGATTGCTTCACATTATAGGAACCAAATATGAAGAAACCTAAGCTAAGTAGAGTGTAAGTTAGAGGGCCTTATTCAGCTGATGAAAGAATGCTGTGCATTATATAGGGATTCTCTCCATTAGCCCTCTGTGTAGATAATACATAAATTAAGATAATAAATGATTATTTATAATAATTTGGTTTGCAGAAATTCCAATTGCACGTGTGTATAAAATAAAACCAGTTTCAAGGGTAACTGGCTCTCTGCTCGTCGCCCTCTTGTGGTCAGGAGACGTCACGGCAACGCCTCATTTTAGCTGGGAAGCCATTGAATGAATTGCTGAGAGTACCAGGAGGGCTTGGCCGTGGGGTGAAAAGCTAGGTAGCTAGGGCCAGGTGGCACTTCTTTGTCTTGTTTTCAGACATTGAAAATGGACAGTTTGACATTCAGCAGACATCTGACTCATGCTCCCTGCATTTCTTTGGCAGCTGAAGGCTATGCCGCCTTTCAGGAAGATAGCTCTGGAGATGAAGCCGAAAGTCCTTCCAAAATGAAGAGGTCCAAGGGGATCCATGTTTTCAAGAAGCCCAGCTTTTCTAAAAAGAAAGAGAAGGATTTTAAAATAAAAGAGAAACCCAAAGAGGAAAAACATAAAGAAGAAAAACACAAAGAGGAAAAACATAAAGAGAAAAAGTCAAAAGACTTGACAGCAGCTGACGTGGTTAAACAGTGGAAGGAAAAGAAGAAAAAGAAGAAGCCAATTCAGGAGCCAGAGGTGCCTCAGATAGATGTCCCGAATCTCAAACCCATCTTTGGGATTCCTCTGGCTGATGCAGTGGAGAGGACCATGATGTACGACGGCGTTCGGCTGCCGGCCGTCTTCCGGGAGTGTGTGGATTATGTGGAGAAGCATGGCATGAAGTGTGAAGGCATCTACAGAGTGTCAGGTATGGGGCTCGCGCCACATGTACTGGTTTTTAAAGGTTAGCTTCACTTCCACTTTTCAAAGGAAGGGAACAAATACTCACTTGTGAGGAAAATTGTGACACGGGTCCTAAACCTCATTCATTTCCTTGATCCTTCCAGTTGAACAAAGACCCTCACACTCTGTGTGTGTGTGTGTGTGTGTGTGTGTGTGTGTGTGTGTGTGTGTGTGTGTGGTGCCCCTCACCTGGGTGCCTCCGTGAGGCTGGGCGTTGGAGGGTGGTCAGCAGGGAGGAAGGACATCTGGGTTCAGGACGCTTCTTGGCCACAAGACACAGTTACTGACAGTCGTTTAAGTATTTCCTGAGTTCAGCTGAGGGATGCACAGTGTTCTTGCTAAATGTTTAGGTTCTTACTAAAATGTTTAGATGTGGATACCTCTGTGTCCAGGCGCGGCTCTTATGTGCATTAGTGAAGTTGAGGTTCCATTTCTCTACGTTCCGTGTGTATGAAAACTTACATTTCATACTGGCAGGAAAGTAATTCATATTGGGTGTCTAAAATCAAGGAAAATGCATGCTGTCTAAAGCAGAAGACTCTATTTCTTACAGAGCAGGGTGGCTTTGTGTTGGTGTAGGATGCAAGTCCTGACCTGTGTGGCATCCGTGCTGTTGTCATCACGTTCCTGTGGTTCAGTGTCTTGGTCCTGGACCTTGAGGCTATAATATTCACTGTTGCTCATGCGTATTTCATGATGAGTTAAATCATACACATTTAGAATAAAGAGACTAGATTTACTTTTTCCATTTAATTGGTTCATGCACATTTCTAGAGGGTGGATTTGATATTTAAGCTTTGTTAAGAAAGGGCCAGCATGTTTGATAACTGGGGAGACCTTTACATAATCCCACAGATAACATGTTATCATTTAAGAGTGTTTTGGCTAAAATGCTACTATTTTATAGAAAATAAGATAAATGAATTAGGCACTGAATTTGAATTTATAAGTCCTTAGTTACATAAAAATAAACACATTTAAATGAATTTGAAACTTGCCTTTTAAGAAAAATTTATGATGGATTTTTAAAGATCTACACAGTACTAACATAGTTGCTTCTCTCACGTGATTTTGATAGGTGTGAAGAAATTTTGTTTTAGGTGAAAGTTTCTCTGAAGAGTTCCTACAGCTTTGTTCAAAGGATTCTTTTGTCTTTGACCTATTTTTGATGTTTGCATTCTTTTGGAGTCGGAGGTGTGGGACTCCTCTGAATTCACGTGTCAGAGTGTTCAAACTGAGCTGCTCCCCTGGTTGTTGGCTCCTTGGAGGCCAAGCTTCTGCTTTGATCAATTTTTTTTTTTTTTTTTTTTGCGGTACGCGGCCCTCTCACTGTTGTGGCCTCTCCTGTTGTGGAGCACAGGCTCCGGACGCACAGGCTCAGCGGCCATGGCTCACGGGCCCAGCCGCTTCGCGGCATGTGGGATCCTCCCGGACTGGGGCACGAACCCGTGTCCCCCGCATTGGCAGGCAGACTCTCAACCACTGCGCCACCAGGGAAGCCCCTGTATTTATTTTTGAAGCTCTGGCAGAATGCTGCATTCAGCACTCTGGACTACAGAGTTTATGGCTGTGACTTTTCTTTTTGAATGCTAACAGTATTATTTTCTGGTGGAGAACTCTTGATTCTCACTTATCCATATATAAGTTCCAGTTTTAAAGCTAATCTATGATTTTGCATATGCTCTTTCTGTACCTGGAAATTTGTGCACTTTTCACTTGTGCAATTTTCTGGGCAGGCACTGTTGGGGGAAAATTACAAATCTATAAAATGTATGTGAGAGAGAGAGGAGGTTTTGGTCAAGAATTTCAATTAAAATTATCACACACCATGTTTTACTCAGTAAAAAAAAAAAAAAAGGAATTATTTTCTAACTTTTCTGCCTCAAAATAAAGATTACACAAAAATAAGATTCATATTATTATTTTCCTGTTTGGAGTTGTTGATTTCATTTTGTCAGTGCTAGATTAAGTTACTGATTTATTGTGATGGCATTAAGTGGTTTTCACATAAGGAATGTCAGAGCCCAGATGTAAGCACTATTGATTGTAAAATGCTGCTCAGACTAGGTGACTCTCGAGTGTTTGTGTTTACCGTTACAATCTGTCAGCCTTAGTTTGTGGCTTGTTTCCAGTAATTGGCCTAAAGTTTTTTTTAAATTGAAGTATAGTTGATGTACAAAATTATATAACTTTCAGGGATACAACATAGTGATTCAATATTTTTAAAGGTTATACTCCATTTATAGTTGTAAAATATTGGCTATATTCCCTGTGCTGTACAATATATCCTTGTAGCTTATTTATTTTATACATGGTAGTTTGTACCTCTTAATCCCCTACCCCTCACTTGCCCCTCACCCCTCCCCTTTCCCCTCTGGTAACCACTAGTTTGTCCTCTATATCTGTGAGTCTGTTTCTTTTTTGTTATATTCAAAGTATAGTTTGTTTTACTTGTTTAGATTCCACATATGAAGTATTTTGTCTTTTTCTGACTTATTTCACGTAGCGTAACACCCTCTAGGTCCATCCATGCTATTGCAAATGGCAGGATTTCATTCTTTTTTATAGCTGAATAGTATTCTGTTGTGTATAGTACCACATCTTGGCCTAAAGTTTTAAGTATCGAAAACAACAGAAAGCTACCTTGTGTTCTCATGAGCAATCAGTGTCACTGAATTATGTCACTGAAATGCACATTGGACTAAAAATCTAAAATACTTAGTGTCTGAAAAACATTTGTGTGTGTTTCTGTCCAGTAAGAAAAGCAAAACAATTCGATTTTAGTAACCCAAAATTTCACTTTTCTTTTATTGTAACCCTGTTTCAGATTAAGAAAACATGTAAAGAACTTAAACTTAGAAATTAGATGGGTATTATGTAATGAATAATTTTCAAAGAGTTTGTTTAGATAGTGAACTCACCTTTTGCATTTATGATACAATTTTTACTTATAAAAGAGTAGTCACCCACAACTTTTTGCAACGTGCTTGTATGTACTGAGTTGTATTTTATGTTGTCAGTCTTGTGACTAGTTAGGAAAAGCAGTTGGCCGCTCATGTAGAACAAGGCATATGCTTAGATTGTAGTTTAATTTTTGCCTGAATTTTTACCTACCTATCTTTAAATAAAAAACAAGTTTTTTTCCCTGAATCGATTGGCGTATTTGCTTGATGTTTCTGTGGTTACTATGACTTTTGTTTTGAGTATTGAGTTTGTCCATTATCATTTAGCTTTTGGTTATTCGTCCTCTAAGTGTAGTCTTTTATCTGCTTTAATGGAGGAATTGTATGAACCGTGTGCAGATTAACACTTCATATGGTCAGGATGGCCCTTCTCTGATCTCCCCCAGGGGTAGGCACAGTGGGGAAGAAAGCTGTGTGTTGGATTTTTTTTTTTTTTTCTTGATACTTTCTTTCTCTTTTGAATTCGAATGTTCTAAGGAATTAAATCCAAGGTGGATGAACTGAAAGCAGCCTATGACAGAGAGGAGTCTCCAAACTTGGAAGAGTATGAGCCTAACACTGTGGCCAGTTTGCTGAAGCAATACCTGCGGGACCTGCCCGAGAACCTGCTGACCAAGGAGCTGCTGCCCCGCTTTGAAGAGGCTTGTGGGCGGAGCTCAGAGGGCGAGAAGGTGCAGGAGTTCCAGCGCCTGCTGGAGGAGCTGCCCGAGTGTAACCGTCTGCTGATCTCCTGGCTGATCATGCACATGGACCACGTTATTGCCAAGGAGCTGGAAACAAAAATGAACATCCAGAACATTTCTATAGTGCTCAGCCCGACTGTCCAGGTACACGGCCGGCCCTGGGGATGTAGGGAGGGTTTCCTGTGGCTGAGTCACATACCAAGCAGTGAACCAGGGACGGTGGGTAAGGGGTTAGCCTGAATGTTGGCCTTTTTATTTCACAGTGTGGACAGTGTTGGCATGTAAGGTAATGAGCATGTCGGCCTTTTAGCTGCAGCTGTGAAATTTGAATATTGTCCAGTCTTTGGTGTGGTTTGTAAGCAGTTCCTGATGACAGTGATCTGTCCTTAGTGGAAGAGGAGCCCAAGGTACCTGCAGTTACAGTTCATCTGCAGTGTTTTAAGGATTTCAGTTACTTCCTCAAATAGCATTACTGCTTAGTCATATCACACACACATACAGACTCAGGCTCAAGGGGCCCTAACGTTATTCATTTGGTCAGGGATTTGACCTGAGGACTTCATGAAGAGGTGTATATAGAGTATTTTACAGAATCTTAATCTGAGGAGGCATTTCAGAGAGGTGGGTGGTGTGTTAGTTGGTGTCTCTTTACAACATAAATTCCTGGCCTTCGTTTTCTGCTGCTCACTTGGTGCTTGCGTAGAGCATGTGTTTTCCTTTAATTGGAGTTACTGATATTTCAGTCAGGCCAAGAACAAAGGGCAAAACATGAGATGGGGTTATAGTTTTTATTTTAAGCTTTTTAGCCAATATACCAGGTTATTATTGGTCACTGTTATAACACACTGTTACATGTAAGAGTGTATTTTCTTTCACTGAAGATTCCTTCATTGCTCGTTGATTATATTTTGGAAGCAACATGTTTCTCAAATTTCATATTAGTCAAGTTTTCAGAATTTGGTAAATATTACATTGTTACTTAATATAACTGTAGTAGGGATGTTGGTGTCACAGAAGATTCAGGTGTGTTGTCAGAATAAGTTTTAGGTAGGAAATAATTTCTTGTATTAACTTTTTAGCCAGCGTAACGTCCTGGTCTCTTAGCATTGGAGCATCTATTCAAACACGGGCTCTGGAGTCTGCCCAGAAGCATTCGTCTCTGGAGCAGGGGCTACCACACTCAGCCCAGCTCTGCAGCTGCAGGCTCCTTTGTTCCTTAGTAGATCCAGTTGCATGTGTTAAAATGTATCACAGTAACTTGAAAATAAAGAACATAAGATTTAAAAAATCAATTAATGTTATGGTGCTAAAACAGAACAGATTGATGATCATCGGTCTCTGCATCCATTTCTTGGCTTTTTCCCCACAATTCCTCATAGTGCTGAGTCCATGACTTAACTCATACTTTCTCATTCTCTTCTTTAAATTGGCCACTAATTAGCAAAACATGTCTAGTCACTACTGAGGATGCACTTAGGCAACAGACACAAATGAAATGAAATGATAATTTTAATATTTTTCTTGCAAATCTTTTCTTTTGTTTTTAGATTAGCAATCGTGTCCTATATGTGTTTTTCACACACGTGCAAGAGCTCTTCGGAAATGTGACACTGAAGCAAGTGACGAAACCTCTGCGATGGTCTAACATGGCCACGATGCCCACACTGCCCGAGACCCAGGAGAGCATCAAGGAGGAGATCAGAAGACAGGTGTGTGCAGCCCCCCTCCCAGCCTCCAGAGCCAGCCCTCGCTCTGACCCCATGGGAGACTGCAGTGCTGAGAACGATGGCCTCCTGTTCCATGAACACTTCCTGTGTGTCTGGAGCTGTGTCAGGCACACTCTTCATGGCACACTGAAGCCAGAACTTCCCATCTGGCACTATTTCATGCCAGTTAAGGCAGAACATCATAGTGGACAGAGCACATGTTTGGAAATCAAAAGACCTGGCTTTAAATTCTTGCTCTGCTCCTAATTAGGCATGTTGCTTAACCTCCTTAAGCCTTGGGGATTGCATTTAAAAATGCTAGGTTTGATGTGAAGATTACCTTAAATGAAATAATGCGTTAAAGATGTTCACCATGGTGCCAGGTATGTTGTAAGCAGTCCAAAAATGTTAGCTTATCTGGACAAGGCTGCTTTATTGGCCTTATTTTACAGATAAGAATAATGAAATTTGGAGAAGTTAAATAACTTATGCTATGTCACCTGGTTACTAAGCTGAAGAGCCAGGATTTGACCCCAAATCCTTTGTTTTCCCACTGTGCTACTGAAACAGTGCCATTTGGTTGTGTGTGTTTGGCAAGCTCAGTAAGAAATTCAAGGCTAAGGCGTTTACTTATATTTGATAATTATTACATCTTTTGTTTGCATACAAGTTATCAAATCCCTGCTTGCCTTTCTTCCCTTTTGTCTGCTCTGAGCTCCCATTTCTTAGTAGTTGATGTGTTGGGGAAAGGGATGTGAATTGACTACTGGGAACCATTGTAAATTGATGGATTAGAACCCAATGCTCAGGCAGAAAAAATAAAGATGATTTTTCAGTCATAACCTTGAAAAAACAATTCATGCATTATGTCATTTTTTTAATGATAATTGAAAAGTAGATTCTGCATTTTTAGAAATTGCATGTGGTTTTATTTTAAAATGACAAAACATGGAATCCTATACAGTGTGTGGTGTGTTACTTTCTAGGAGTTTCTTTTGAACTGTTTACATCGAGATCTGCAGGGTGGGATAAAGGATTTATCTAAAGAGGAAAGATTATGGGAAGTACAAAGAATTTTGACAGCCCTCAAAAGAAAACTGAGAGAAGCTAAAAGACAAGTGAGTAAATTTATTATTTTGGCACATCATGTTTATAATGAAATGTAAAAAGAGTGCACTGGAATCTTTTATATACCATTTTAAGTTATTTTTTTAAAGTACAACCCAATTTATATTGGGTTGGCTGAAAAGTTCGTTCGGGTTTTTGTTTAAAAAAAAAAAGCTGAACGACCTTTTTGGCCAACCCAGTGTAAATACCTTTTGAGGGGAAGTTCCCCGATGGGAGATTTGTTCACATGTTCCTAGTTCTGGATTATTGATCCTTCAGCTTGGTATGAGGGAAATGCTTCATTTAATTTAGAAAGTTGAGTTTTTTAATTAAACAGACTATTTGGCGAAAAGATGTTTTGTCATTTCCTGCTTGGTTGTACCTGTAAACAGTTTTCCAGGCGTGAGAAGCAGTCAGATGGTGATATGTTTCAAAGACTGCAGGGGAGTTTGAGGGCTTTGAGTCAGAAACACATGGAGGTACCGAAGATCAAGAGGGGCTTTCTTTACCTGGTAACAGGCAGGGAGGCGTGTGCCTCATGATGAGCTTGGGGTTCGTGAGCCAGACTGTTGGTCTCCCTCTAGTTTAGTGTGTGTTGCTTGGCGCTGGGACTCTGAGTTTCCGGCCACGCCAAGGCTGAGGTCCCAAATCTCTGGACCCTCTTACAACCCACGTGCAGATTCAATGCCAGGGTCCAAAGACCACTTCCAAGGAACATGAGTTAGCATTTGTCCGAGTGGGACAGCATGGTCCATGGTGGGTCGCAGTTGTGGTTTTGCTAAAAGACAAGACAACCCATGTTGCTTCGAGGGCAGCAGTTTGCACTTACGTGGGGATAGCTTTGTCAGGAAGGAAGCTGTGATGGAGTTTCTACACCTGCACTCTAGGACTAGCAGACACCCTCTGTGTATTTTTCTTCCTTTTTCCCCACTTGCCAGATTATCTATCTTTTGCTTCCAGTGCCTGTTTTTGATTAATTATTCCCTTCATGATTCGGCCTGGAATCAGGTTTTAGTGACAGACCAACCAGTCCTCCTGTGGTCACTGTCCACCATGTGGCATTGCCCATCAGCCTTTAATGAAGGGTCTCTGACCCAGGACAGGGAGGGTCACGTGGGCTCGGCTTCCTTTCTCTTGTTCCTGCATCTCTCTTGGATAAAGGAATTGTGACATAGCAAACCAGAGCCAATATAGAAAGGGATGGATTACCTCTACTTTGCCAGTTTCTTGATGCTGTCTTTTCGTGTCTGCTTATTAATTCACAAAGTGCTCCAAAGGTTCCATCAAGTTGATTTCAACTTTGAGGAATAAATGACTTTTAAAGATAGAAGTAATATAACTCATTATATTAACAGACTAAAAATAAGAAAGCAGGGCTTCCCTGGTGGCGCAGTGGTTGGGAGTCCGCCTGCCGATGCAGGGAACACGGGTTCGTGCCCCGGTCCGGGGGGATCCCACGTGCCGCAGAGCGGCTGGGCCCGTGGGCCATGGCCGCTGGGCCTGCGCGTCCGGAGCCTGTTGCTCTGCGACGGGAGAGGCCGCAGTGGTGAGAGGCCCGCATACCACAAAAAAAAAAAAAAAAAAAAAA